TCAATCCAGTTTTTCTCTGCAATCCAGCACCGTCAATATATTTACTTAACACATTCTTTTTCAGTTAAAGAGAGAATTCCTAAATAGGGGTAAAAACGTTTTGAAATTCCAAAATAGGACTCATGTTTTTTATTCCCTGAATGAGAGTAAATTTCTTCCAAGTTTGACATTACTAGGCTTTAAACATGACATTTTTTCCCAAACTTGGCAGATTACTCCTATTCAGGGAATAAAAAATATGATAGTCCTATTTTAGAATTTCAAAACGTTTTTACCCATATTTAGAGCAATTTCTGTTAGTTCAATCCTTACTTTTTATTATTATACATATTTTTTTGCCAAATTCTATTTTTGCAAATAATTATGATTTAAAATATCAAACATCCCCATGTTAAAATAAATAAATTTTGAGATTTTTTGTTACTTCAGACCTATTTTAAGAAATGATCAAAAAATGTATAAGAAACAAAAAATTAACCATCACATGTTAATTTTAGTACTTGGATTTATTTAAGAGAAATTTTGGGTAAAAAAACTCATGATACGAAATTTCATATTTTTTTTTAATTTTATATATTTAATATTGGTGTCATATGAAAGATAATAAAAAATTATGAATTTTGATATAATTCTTTATAAAGATTGGATTATAAATAAAAAAGTTGACAATTTAAATAAAATTAGGAATTTAATTTTTGGGGGGCCTACATCATTTTCACACCTGCACATGGCAGATGGGAGTCTTCTCTTCTCACTTGGAGTCAATCGAGGCTTGTAATCTCCATCCCATGGGTTTCTACATCCACTAGCTCTAACACCTCCATATACTCTTTTTTACATTGGGTTGCAGCATATTTGAGGTGAAAATCTCAAATTTGGATTTTCACCCCACCCATTGCGGTCAGCCTAAAAGAGCAAGAGGGGATTCCAAATTTGAGAGTAGAGGCGGCTGAACCGCTGAGGCAAGGGACAATTGACCGATTATGCTAGAGCACGCGAAAAGCAAAACGCGAAAGGAGGTGAAGACTTCGAAGAACAGAGAGTGAGAGCAGGCGAAGAGGCAACACAACTTCCGATTTGGGGTTCCCTTTTTGTTTCTTTGTCATCGCTTCGATTCCAATTAAGCAATTCCAAACAGCCACAACAAAGAAGTCAGAAACGATGGGAGCCAGCTCGGTCTGGCTAGGACGTAAAGGAGACCACATGCGTTATACCAGGGCCGCTCAGAGACAAAACAAGCGGTATGTCATGAAAGCTGAGATAACGGGAGTCATGAGACGGAAATTAAACGGAAAATAAATTCATTTCAAAGAGTACCCATCCTAAAACACATGGTACCAACTCATAAAGCAAAATGATTACACCAACATTTTTTTCATCCCTAAAATATCCTTACATCCATTGACAATTATAAGCTCTTAAGATATTGGGATCTTCAACGAACCCGGTTGGGTCACCCGGCCAAATAATAATATGAGGAGACAATGCCATGTTACTATCTATACATTTTATATGAACACTAGAACCCTCTCAATGAAAGAGTTATGTTAAGTAAGTGTAACAACCATCCCCAAATGCACCGGGAAAATGGTCATTACGGGACTAAAACATAAACAAGACTCGATATGAAAAGTGGAAACAAATATACAAAGCCTCGGAGTGACACTCCATTTCTCAAAACATAACCAAACCTCACAACAAATAACGAAGAGTAACCAAAAGATAATGTTTTTAAAACTGTTACACCTGATCAGGATTTCAAAACATTTAGCAATCCTTAGAAGTACCAAAGTACTAAAAACAAAATACTACGTATAACATATAGCCATATCTTCTATGTTAACCCATCCAAAACTTTATCACTAGCTCCATAGATTGTCTCAGGCTTCCGTACATCCTTTATTACCTATACATGAGAACACAAGAGAATAGAATTCTCGTAAGAATAAATGCTTAGTAAGTCAACATTTCATCCCACGAAAAATAACGAAGTCTCAGCTAGTCATAAATAGATACACCAGGCCAAAAGATATATTGGGATCTTTAACGAACCCGGTTGGGTCAACTGGCCAAATAATAATATGAGGAGACAATGCCATGTTACTATCTACTCGTATATATTTTATATGAACACTGGAACTCTCTCAATGAAAGAGTCATGTTTATGTAAGTGTAACAATCATCCCCAAATACACTGGGGAAATGGTCATTATGGGAATAAAACATAAAACAAGGGCCCCTAAGATAAACGGGGGGACCGTGGCCCCAGGTCTCTACTTAAGTTATACATTTATAACTTAAAATAAATCTAATCAAACAATATTAATAATGTGATTTGCTATTTGTGAAATATGTTACTAAGTTCTAGTGTAAGTTGACTGCCACTCAAAAAAATTATGGATACGTCACCAAGTCTCGGCCCCTTAAGATGAGTTTCCTGGATCAGCCCCTGTCGCACACACTATAAATATATAACACCGCTCAAATTACCTCATTTACTACAAATTGAACAATTGAGTGATCACGTTTATAAACTTGAAAACATGAACCTACATTTCAATATGAGTACTATTTAAGGAATTGAATGTGCTGGTTCTCCCTTTAAAAAAAAGTAGAATCCCACACTAAGAAAAAGAATCACTCTTAATCTCAAATCCTTGATCATCCACGTACATTTTGGGATACGACCGACAGCCGAAGAGTTTACGTCAAAGCAGTAGGTTATCATATTTATGACTCAGCAAAAATAGTACTGGCTGGCTGATGTGATTAATAATTATTCAATTCGCATACGATATAAAAAGATGGGAATAATCAACGAAAGATTAGCACACACGAAGCGACTCGTTCGTGCTCTATAACGATGGTATATATGGAAAAGGTCCTCTACTCCTCTACACCTACCGGCATAATGGGAGAATGTAAAAATATATAAAGTAACAGAGTATGTAACAAGTAACAACATAATTTAAAATTTTCAGTTATGTTTTTAACTTAACTCCTTTTTGAAATACTGTCGTATTTAACATTTTAACTTCTTATTTCATCAAGTACCTTGTGCTCTCATTACAAAAAATACTTTGTGCTCTTATTTTTTCACATGTTTAATTTGAATGTGTGATTTTAAAAATTGCAACATGATAATTTTTGCACTATTCACACATTTTACTTTGACCCAGATTTTCTACTACGGAGTAATATGTATAATCAAATTATTATGTATAAAATGTTACTCCCTCTGTTTCGCAATCAAAGTCACACTTTCTTTTTTTTGGATGTTTCAAAAACAAAGTCACACTTCCCTTATTTCCTTACTTGGCAAATAAATCTACATCAAAACAGTGTCAAACGATGTCAAACATTGTCAAACAGTGTATTCTACAGTAAAGTCAATTTATTTCCTTAATAATTGTGAAGTCAAACTGTGACTTTGATTGTGAAACGGAGTGAGTATAAAATTTCTATTCATGTGAATTTTCCAAAATATTAAATTTAATAATCTTTATTAATACGTGATTAAATATAATTACCGTCAAAGTTGTGTGTTGGCAAATGTAAAAATCAAACGGTTGGAAATATTAAAGAACGGAGGGTACTATTAGATTTAAAACGACATACAAAAAACTCCTCAACCCAAGATATCAAAACCACCCGTCAGAGTTTCGTGGTAAAAATTTGAAAAGATTTCAAGAGCACACTCCTTTTTAAAAAGTAAAATAGAGAGGTACAATAAAAATTGTTAAAATGTTCATTAATGGGTAAAAATAATATTTCCTCCCTCTTTTAAGTAAAGAATTTGTGGTTCCAATTAATTCTATCTCCTCTGTACAAACTTCTACCATACGATTTTTACTTTATTAATTCTCGTACTGATCAAACTTGGCGAAGTTTTAAGGGACGGAGGAGTTATAATTTCTTCATATTTAGCGTATAGCATTGCACACTTTTTATAATTAGGGGAATATCGATCAACACTAAAATCAGCATGCAAAGGTTTCACTAAACAATTGACATACTACCTATTTAGTTTAACTGAAAATATAATAGGCTAAATAGTCAAATAGGCCCGTGTACTAGTAGTATAAGCTCAACTCATTCCCTGAACTAAAAAAAGGTCCAATTCACACTCCGAACCGGCAAAAAAGGGTTCAAATTTCATTTTTTTAAGGTTAAACAATCGGTAAAAAAGGTCCAATTCGCACCCCTAAACTATTAAAAATGTGTCAAAATTGCAATAAATCAAAAATAAAAAACAAAAAAATGGCAAAGATTAATGTATAGCATTACAAACTTTTGCGCATATCTTAATAATCATACACTTTTTTTATTATTATTTGAGAAAAGGGTCAAATAACGCTTTCTACTATTATGAAACAGTCACATAAGGTCACGTACTCAATAAAGTGTCATATAAGTACCTCTACAGCCTCTACTTGTAAAAAGCAATCAAATAGGTCCTAATGACCTATTTAACACCTCTTAATCCCGATTTTAGAGTACTTGTGACCATCTTTTTAGAATAGATTATATGGCATACGTCGAATATTTAACTAAGATTGGTTGAAATACAAGTAAAAAAAAATAGACATGTAAGCTAAAATCGGGGTTAGGAGGTTGTAAATAGATCGTTAGGACTCATTTGATTGTTTTTTACAAGTAGAGGTACTTATATGACACTTTATTAAGTACATGACCTTATGTGACTATTTCATAATAGCAGAAGGCCTTATTTGACCCTTTTCTTCTCTTATTATTTCACGTGACGGTCTGGCAAAGTTTTAAGGCAGAAAATGATATGATACAAATATCACAACTAAAAATTATTATTCAAAATCCAGTATACTATGGACGTGTGTATGTACGTTTTAATCAAATTATTGCTAAAACTTTAGCAGAAAAGATTGCCGTGTTTGAATGGATTGTGAAATACGTAATGGAAATGAACATGCATGTTAATTACATCACATGTGAGTACATGTAGGGTATGTTCAAAGTCGCCATCCATTCCCTATATATACCCTTCTCCTTATCCATTTCTCTTCAACAATTCACAGAACAATATCTACCAGAGAAATTTTCAAAGGCAACTGGCGGCATGGCGGTCTTCAAAATCCTTCCCCTTCTCTCCCTCTCTCTCATTTCCCTTTTCTGCTTCCCATTCTCCGAGGCTACCAGGTTCGACATCACAAACAACTGCCCCTACACCGTGTGGGCAGCGGCCTTGCCCTCCGGCGGCGGGCAGCAACTAAACAGCGGCGGCGGGACATGGGGCCTCGACGTGCCGGCGGGGACCACCAGCGGTCGCATATGGGGCCGGACCGGCTGCAACTTCGACGGTTCAGGGAACGGGCACTGCCAGACCGGCGACTGCGGGAACGTGCTCGCCTGCAGGCTCTCGGGGGCTCCGCCAACAACGTTGGCGGAGTTCTCCCTGAACCAGCCCAACAATCTGGACTTCTACGACCTGTCGGTGATCGACGGGTTCAATGTTCCGATGAGCTTCAGACCAACTTCCGGCGGCTGCGCCTCCCTCCGGTGCCCCGCCGACAAGTGCTCCGATGCATACCTCTTCCCAGCTGACAATACTAAAACTCATAGTTGCCCTTCAGGGACCAACTACAAGATTGTCTTTTGCCCTTGAAGAAGAAGAAGAAGAATGGGAAAAGCTAAGATTATTACTGTATAGACGTATAGTGATTGCTACCTCTGAAATAAAGGAAGAATAAGACGGCGTCAAAATAAGCACTTTTACTGTGTGTTTAAGTGTAGCCCTCACTAAAATACTTGTCCAGCTCGTTTTGGATTACAAAGTTTTATGGAATATCTTTCCCCTCATTAAATCATTAATTAATTAAAGTGTTTTGTGTGGAAGGAAATTAATTAATGATCATTCTTGGAGTTATGCACGTATGAAATTAATAGTTCATTCATAATAATACAATTAGGCGGAGTATTAAACCAACAGATCGAGACTGAGACAAAGAAATGCCTCCTTGGGACAGTATGTGGCTATAAAAAATAGTGTATGTATATAATAATTTTATTATACTCCGTACAATATTCAAATGGGAAATCGATCATAAATATAAATATAAGTAAAATAATCTCTAAATGCACAAATAAGATTATGCTCTTCTGCCGCTAAGTAATTGTCCTAAGTAGGACTAAAACATAATGAAAATTCCCGAATAGGACCTTAAGCTTTTTATTCCCTAAATAGGACCATATTAATCCTATATAGAAACATAACAAAATTCCATACCATTAATACCCTTCTTTTATTTATTAATCCCTAAATTCATTACGTTTTCATCTCATTCCTCTCTCTCCTTGCAAGATCTATCGGTTCTCCTTGCGGCAAAAATGGAACGACATCTCCATCTCCAACTGCTCTCCGTGCATCGCAGCCAGCCAGCCACCACCGCCTCGCGTCGCCGTCGTCAGTATCGGCTTCACCACGTGCCATCGCAGGTTTCCTCTTCTTCTTCTCCTCCTTCTTCCCCGATCTACTCCTCCCTCTCATCTTCCTCCTCCTCCTATATTCCTCTATTTTAATGAGATTAGACATTGATTTTTCTGATCTTCCTCATATTCTTATGTATTTCTGAAATTTGACATTGATTTTATCAATTTTTAGGAATTCTGTTTTGTATTTTCTGATTTTTTTCTGATTTCTGATTTTTTTAATCAGCGAAATTTGAGAAATTTCAAAAGTTCTGATTTGCCAAAACTTTGAATGATGGTTTCATATGTTGCCAAGTTAATGGCAGATTTTGCCAATTTTCAGACCTCTGTTTTCTATTTCGAATATCCGATTTCTTAGTTTTTAAAAAATTAACGATTTTCCAAAATTTTGGATGATGTCTTCAGATTTTGCCAAGTTTATGGCAGAAATGTGTATACTGACAAATGATTATGGCAAAATTGCATTTGTGTAAAACGATTTTTCTAATTTTTTGTCATTAGCTTCGTTTTCTAATTCTGATTGTGTTAATCTTTTTGCCAAATTTTTGACATTTGCGCGTATTCCATTTTTTTTTCCAATATTTGGATATTGAATTCATATTTTTGCCAAATTTATGGTAACTTTGTGTTAATCTTCCAACATAAATCTGCCAGCTTAATAGCATATCTGAAAATCTGCCAACTTAAGGGTGGTGGTGGCGAATGATGGTGGCAGGCGCTGCCGGAAAGGGCGGCGGCATGCGGTGTCGGTGAAGGTGGCGCTAGGCGGTGCCAACAAGGGCAGCGGCAGGAGGCGCCAGGTGGCGCCAATGAGGGAGGCAGCGGCAAGGGTGGCTCCTGTGTTACGGTTCAAATTTAGGGTTTCAACATTTTAATTTTACTTTTTTAATTATTAATTCAAAAGAAATTGATTAGGGGCATATTTGTACAAAACGGTGGTTTTAAGTCCTACGAACTATTGGTTTTTTTCAAGTCCTATTTGTGCACATTCAATTAGCATTAGTCCTATATAGGTCATTAACTCTAAAAACTTATCAACTTTCCCGGCCTTTTAAATAAAAAATTTGTCAACATTTTGAATTTGTCACAAATGGATTTGGGAATTATAAAAAGACCAACAGTAAGGAATGCACAGATATTGCGTGGAATTTTAAATTGGAACGGAAGACATGGATATTATGGATTTGATATAAATAAATAACTGAAATGGCAGATCAATTTAGACGAAATTATAATACGTAGCGTAGTACGTTTTAGGCTGAAAACGAGTTCGGAATCGCCGCACGATGAGCACCCTTCACCTGAATCCAAAACGACGTAGTATTGCCTATTTTTAATTAAAAAATCACGCGTGAATAGTACACACGTGAACAGTAACTAGTTTTGTTTGTTTTTCTTATCCCAGTAGCAGAATGATGTAACCCGTGTGTAAAAAAATGTAACTCACGTTAAAAAAGAAATGTTACTACTAGTAAGTCGAAATGTAACTTGTTTAAAACATTGATTTCCATGTAAACAATAAAAAATGAGTCAAAATTTTAAATTATCTTACCTAAATAGTGAATATGTTTTGTTTTTAATATTAAGACTATAAAATGTTTTAAAAGGGGTATATTTTGTGATGTAACTAGTGTGTTATGGAAAATGTAAGTTGTGTTGATAGAAAATCTAACTTAGGTGTATGCAAAATATAACATGTTGAGGCAAGCCCAAATGTAACACGCATAGAGAAAGATGCAACTCATGCATAAGAAGATGTAACTCGTGTATAAGAAGATGTAATTCATATATAATATCAAATGCAACTATAGAAAATGTACTTTAATAAAAATTTGTAAAAAAATTGGTAAATAATAACGAAGAAGTCTAATTATCCAACTATTTGACATAGATATTGTATATGTTTTGTTTTTAATATCAGATCTATAAAAATGTTTTTATAAAAATAAATTTTCTTTGAATAGCAGAGCTAATTGTGTTGTGTAACTTGCATTATATTGTGGTGTAACTCGCATTATGGGAAATAATGTAATTTACATGTAAGCGAGATGTAACTTGATGAAGAAAGATGACATGTAACTCGCGAATAATAAGATGTAACTCGTGAATAATAAGATGCAACTTCATATATTATCAAATGTAACTTGAGTAATAAATTTAAACAATAATAATAATATCATTAATACACAAAAATGTATGATCATTTTAATGCATAGCTTCGCCGTGTACATTCAGCGGAGGGGATAAATCAACCGAATTCAAAAGTAGGAACCACATGAATTTTCAGAGTTTCAATCCGTGTAGCAGACGCGGAGGGGATAAAGGAGAAGAAGGGTATATGATAGCTGATGATGATCCAGGAGTATAGCTTGGCGGAGAAGAAGAGATGATTGTTTTTAATTAATGGAACGACACTGTATTGGGATCGGTACACCATGCTCATGGTGGGCTGATCCCACGGTATAATTTACGGCTGAAGACCGTTCCCGATTGACCATATCTTTCATGTTCTGATAATAAATAATCATGTGCTAAATGTTCATGAGCAAGGATGTTTTCTTTTGGACTGTTTTTAGTCCCATACCAGACCAGATCAGACCAGACCAAACTTCTGTAGTTATAAAATACACAGAGACCAGACGTTTACCGGACCAGACCAGACCAGCAAATTTCAGTCCAAAAGAAAACATCTTAAGACTAGGAGCGCTTCAGAATTAAAGAATACTCCCTTCGTCACTATGTAAAGCCCTTCGTCCCTAATTCCCTATATAAAGGTATTTATTCAGTTTGCACACATTTTAAGAAAGTAAGATTGACACCATTTGAATGCAATTCACTATTTTGTATTGTTTTGCACTGTTTTTTTACCCAAAAAAGAATAAATAGTGATTTTTTATAGGAACGGATGTAGGATATTGTAGTACGTAGACATTTATATGCGACACATATTCATTGTTATTACTACATCTATTCTTAAATAAGTGTAATAGTCCACTTTTCATATTTGCTTATATACAATTTTGATCTTTAGTGTATTTAACTCTCTATTAATAAAAAAATTTAAAAAAAATCAGATTTTGAAAATTTACGATAATACAAATTTGACAATATTTTTAATAAAAATTTATTAATATATTACGGAGTAATAAATAAAACATAGACAAACTAGAACATGCAATACATACTTTAAATTTACACATGTTGCACTTAATTACTACCTCCATACCCCTAATATTGGGATGGAAAGGAGTGATGTGGTTTTTAAGAAAAGTAGAATTATGTGGTTGCATTGATAATGATTTGATAAAGTAGGAATAAAGTAAAAATGAATTAGAGTCGCACAAATGTAACCAAATATTATACGTAGTATGAAACAATAGTAAGGGGACATCCAAAATGAAAATGTGAGAAATTTATAGGGGACAGAGAAAATATTTATGAACGAAGGTAATATAATACTATAATATACTTACTACGTACTTCGTATATATATATGTCCAGTTTCTCATCATTTAATTCATGCGAGACATAGGGCTTGTATGCAATCAATTAAAAAAATGATTTTGGCTTTTTTTTTAAGAAAAAAACACTTATTTTACCAAACATTATCAACTTTTACTTCCTCAGTTTTCGTGTAGAATCTACTTTTTACTTTTTCTATTACACAAAAAACACTTATTTTACCAAACACTACCAACTTTTACTACTAATCACTTTTTCCCAAAAAATGCTTTTACTTAAGCACAAGTGGTTGCAAACAGAGTCATAAAAGCGTCTCATTATATTACTACTATACGTAATTACGTATTGGATTCATAGAGTATTAGAATTATTAAGAGATTTGATAATAAAAAAATTAAAAAAAAAATCGGTACGTAAGTTATTCAATTTAATTATCCCATCCCATGTTCTATTTGAATCCCAACAATGCCATTCTAATAGAGCAATGTGTTCAACCTAGGCAGTGGGCATACGCGGAAATGGTAGTAATTCAATAATTCCCGACAGTCATTTTATCTTAACTTCTGTTTGTCACTGTTATATTATTATACTCCATATATAGAAATCAAAAATGCTATTGCTACCCCATTTTGTACCCCATTTTGTACCCACCCCCTATGTTTGTGGCTCACAAATGCACTTCATTAAAATGGAGCAATTCATTTAATGTGTTGGGCTTTTGTGAGCCACAAAAATAGGAGGAGGTATAAAATGGGGTACAAAATGGGGGTACTTATAGCAAAGTTGATATAGAAATACTAGTAATAAATATTCACATTCAAATAGTTTGATAGGAAGCCCGCTTTAATTTAAAGTATGCGTTTGACATTATTATTATGGCAGAAGCCAGCAGGTACAACGTTTTGTAAATTTTAAACATCGATCATTTATCATACTTCTTTCGTTCTTTAATTCTTTAAATATTGTGATTTTTGCATTATTCACATATCTTACTTTGATCACGATTTTCTACTAATATACATAATCAAATTATTACGTATAAAATGTTATTGAATTCCTATCAATGTGAATTTTCAAAATATCAACTTTTTATAATGTTTACTAATACACAATTAAATATAATTACAGTCAAAGTTGTGTGTTGGCAAACATGAAAGTCAAACTGTTGCAAGAATTAAAGAACGGGGA